AATGTGGAACAAAATCTGACCAGTGTGGAGAAAGGGGTCCTTGGGTGCTAAGAGCACTTATGGTTTAGGCGACAAGGAGTGGACTCAGGACTGTAAATGTCTTATATCATTAAGTGTTGTGTAGGGAGACCGTATGACTTACTAGCTATGTGACCTCAAGCAAGGTACTTAACTTCTCTGGCTTCAGTTTTTCCATCTGTAAGATAAGGATGGATGCGGTTGTGAGGATGAATAAATGTGTATGCCATGCTCAGGACAGGCTGTACACAATCAGCAGCTACGAAATGCCAGCCCTTGTCATTATTCTTGCTAGTGTGATCACCATCGCTCTGGCGACAACTGAGCCTGGACCAGGCACTGTCTTACAGAGCAGATTCATATCTCGATTTGGCCACCTAGACATTAACAAGGCCACAATGTTAGTCTCAGGGCCCCTGAGAGTCAGCTAAGTTAGTTCTCACCACAGCTCATTCCTCCACCCCTGTGTAAGCCACGGTGCGTAAGCCACGGTGCGTAAGCCCTGGGAGGGAGAGGTTCAGACGGTGTATATGGGATGGTTACATTAGCAGCAACCTGAGGCTCCTCTCTCCTCCCCAGTTTCTGATCTGGGGAGGGAAAGGAGCGCCCCTCTCACCTGGAGGGCTTGGTGAAGTTTGTCAGCAAAGTACAGCGGTGTGTTCTTGATCACCGAAGCTGGAAGCAAAGATGGGAAGGATGGAGGCTCACATCTAGGGCCACAATCTCCCATCCCAAGAGAGACTCACTCCACAAATCCTGCGCAGGCCCCTACCTAGGCCTAGCAGAGCCGCCTGGGCATCTCCATGGAAACGGTTCTGGACAGCCTCCTCCAACTCTTGCCCAGTGCTCCGCTGGTACTGATCAAACACTTGTGGTGTGTGTGGGAGGCAGTTAGAAAGATGGATGGGGGATTCATTATAACAGGAAAGGATGGCCCCTCCCCACCTTCCTCAGCCCAAACTCATCATTAGAGCAAGCTGGGGGACAAGATGGCTTGTGTGTACCTCGGATGAGGTGTTCAGGATTTCGCTGGGTAAAGAGCAGAACCCATGTCTTCTCTGTGCTGGGTCCTTCTGCCTGCTGCAGTGCCTGGGAAGGAGGAGTGAGTCAGGATCACTGGTGGGGACCTAGGGAGCCACGGGTGTGATGTTCCCAGAATCTATCACCATCATGATGAAAATGGGATTCAGGGTGGAAAATATTTTTCTTTTTTTTTTCTGAGACAGAGTCTCGTTCTGTCACCCAGGTTGGAGTGCAATGAATGGCATGATCCCAGCTCACCGCAACCTCCTCCTCCCAGGTTCAAGTGATTCTCCAGCCTCAGCCTCCGGAGTAGCTGGGATTATAGGCACCCACCATCATGCCTGGCTAATTTTTGTATTTTTAGTAGAGACAGGGTTTTGCCATGTTGGCTAGGCTGGTTTCAAACTCCTGACCTCAAGTGATCCACCTGCCTCGGCCTCCTAAATTACAGACATGAGCCACCACACCCAGCTGGAAAAGGTTATTTTGACCTGTAAACTAGGGTGGGTGGGTGTGTGTGTGTGTGTGTGTGTGTGTGTGTGTGTCAGACAGCGAGAAAGAGATGGGGTCTCCCTCTGTCACCCAGGCTGGAGTGCCGTGGCATGATCGGGACTCACCTCAGCCTCAATTTCCCAGGCTCAAGTGATCCTCCCACCTCAGCCTCAGCCTCCTAGCTAGCTGGAACTACAAGTGCAGCTAATTTGAAAAACATTTTGTGGAAACAGAGTCTCACTATGTTGCCTAGGCTGGTCTCGGACTCTTGGGCTCAAGTGACCCTCCTGTTTCAGCCTCCCAAAGTTCTGGGATTACAGGCATGAGGGACCATGCCTGGCCTATTAGTTGTTTTTATTTATGTGATGTCATTTATTTTATTTTATTTTTTAAGAAAGAAATAGGGCTAAGGGAGGGGCTCTGCCCTTCCAGCCTCACAGCTCTAGTCACTGATTTGGAAATATCCTGGTACCCAAGGGTTAAATAATCCCCAAAAGGGTCTGAGGGAGCTTTCTGCCCCCAAATGCTCACGAGAGGAGAATCTGTTGGTCCATGAGCTCAGGAGTCAGAGACTAGGCGGGAGAAAAGGCTTCAGCTATGATGCTACCTGACACCTCATCCCCCTATCACATCACTGGGGACTCCCTCTCCCAGGGAGGCACGGGTTTGCAGGACAAATGGGCATGTAGGTGACTGACTCTAAGATATGGTGGAGGAAGGCATCTTACATGCATGGCGGCTGTGCACACTCCTAAACCCCCTGCTCACCTGGACGTCTTGTTCTGCCAGATTATAGTCAATGATTCCAGAGTAGCAGTCACGACCCCCCTAGGAGGAGAAACTGTTCTTAGAGGGCTCTTTGAAGGGCATCTTTTCATCTCCAGAGCAACAAGCAAAGTCTGGTCTCCCCCAAAGCCCCCTCTTGTCCATTACAGGACAGCAATGCTCCCTGCTCCAGCGCGTCTCCTTGGCTAGTGAATGTGACTCCCTTCCTTACAGGCCAGTCCTCCTCACCTTGGCCAGGGCCAGGAGCAGGTCCCGCAAGATGCCACTGCTCTCAGATGTGATGTCATCCACGGCCTCCACCTGGAAATCTGGGGTGGGGTGAGGAGCTCTCTGAGTCCTCCTGAGTTTTCCTAGCATAGATATTCCCAGGACCTGCCGAATGCCTGACTCACTATGCCCCCGCAGCCCTGCTAGGCCCTGCCTGGAGTAGCTTCACGGCTGCTAATTCCCAGGATGTAAGGCACAAGTACCATCACAGCCACCTGAAAACGTCTCTGAGCTGTAAGGTGTGCGGTGGCTTCATCACCAACCTGCTAGGCAGGAGGCAACCATGATTAGAAGTAGGGACAGGCAGTGAAGAAGGGCTAGAGAAACCTGTATTATAACACAAGATGGCTGGGACCTGGCATCCTCGTTGGAGGTAAGGAAAAATGATATGAGGCCGGGTGCAGTGGCTCACACCTTTAATACCAGCACTTTGGGAGGCTGCGGGTGGATCGACTGGGGTCAGGAGTTCAAGACCACCCTGGACAACATGGTAAAACCTCGTGTCTTCTAAAAATACAAAAGTTAGCTGGGCGTGGTGGCAGGCAGCTACTTGGGAGGCTGAGGCAGGAGAATGACTTGAACCCAGGAGGCAGAGGTTGCAGCGAGCCAAGATTGTACCATTGTATTATAGCCTGGGTGACAAGAGTGAAACTAGGCTAAAAAAAAAAAAAAGGTGGGGAAAAGAGCAGGAAAGGGAGAAAAGGAAGGAGAAGAGAGAAACAGATGCAAGAAGGAAGGAGGGAAGGAGAGGGATTAAGAACACAGGCCACAGCTGGGGTGGCGGCTCATGCCTGTAATCCCAGCACTTTGCAACACTGAGGCAGGAAGATGGCTTGAGCCCAGAAGTTTGAGACCAGCCTGGACAACACAGCAAAACCCATCTCTACAAAAAACACAAAAATTAGCTGGGCATGGTGGTGGCGCACTTGTAGTCCCAGCTGCTTAGGAGGCTGAGGTGGGAGGACTGAGCCCAGGAGGGTCAGAGCTGCAGGGACCCACAACCACATCACTCACGGTCTGGGCTACAGGGCAAGATCTTGTCTCAAAAGAAGAATGTAGGCCAAGATTAGACATCAGAGGAAAATTGGGAGAGCAAGACAAAGTGGTGAGGGTGGCGGAAGGGGTGGTGAGAGGAGGATGGTAAGAAGCCACAAATTAGTGGGTGAGACACTTGCAGCCAAGCAAGGACAGCCATCAGGGGCACGAGAGGTGACACCCATGACTCAGAGGGCAGGTTCCCATCTTTCCTCCAGGCTGCGGCAAGGCTGGGCTCAGCTTGGAATGTGGTGTGATGACAGGGACAGCAAGGGGCTGGGAAGGTGACATGAATACCTTTGGGACTATCACTTTGGAATCTGCCTTGGAGCTCCAGATTAAGATGGTTAATCATTGCTTCTCTCTTTATATATATATGTGTGTGTGTGTGTGTGAGAGAGAGAGAGAGAGAGAGAAACATACTCTCACTCCTGTCACCCATGCTATTGCAACAGCAATAGCATGATCTCAGCTCACCGTGGCCTCAACTTCCCAAGCTCAGTTCAGGTGATCCTCCCACCTCAACCTCCTGAGTAGC